TGATTACACTTTGTGACATTTTAGAATATATGGGTGATCGAAAAAGATGTCTTATAAGGAGAGGAAACGCTAAAACATAACTTCATACAGTAGAACCCCTCTAGTCCGCCCTCGGCTAGTCCGTCACTCCGGTTAATCCGACTGTGGTCGGAGTCGAGAAACTTGTCCCGACTCGTCAGTGACTCACTGTCCGTGGCGTTCTGTGTTCGTTATAGTATATGTTTTACATTGTGTGTGTTTTCAACATGCCAGGAGTGAAACGTAAACACGTTACTCTTTCATTAAATGAAAAATTAGCAGTGCTACAAAGACTGTACAAAGGGAAGATTGTTTATTTTACTTTTTTCTGATAATCCGACCTTTTTTGCGTTCCGACCATACCCCCAGTCCCAAAGGTGACGGATTAGAGGGGTTCTACTGTATCTATCCACCTCTTAGCAACTAATTCACTTCAGTTTCACCAACACCTAATTTTGCGGAGCTTAAAATTCTTTTACTTTTACAAATGTTTTCAACCTATCTAATATAGGCTATCATCAGGTTTAATATTATAAATGTTCCAAAATAGAATGTACCGTTTTTGAATATTTTACATATTTAAAATTTTTTTAAAATTTATCTTTAAAATAAATTGAAAGTATGTATGTTAAAGAAATAAATAAAAAGTAAATAAACAAATAAAACAGAAAACAAAGCTAACTAGAAATAAACACGATTTTTAAGGGTTTTTAGGTCCCACTCTTTTTCCTATTATATATTTCCATTTTATATACCCCAGCTTTCTCTTCCTTTTTTACGCTATCTTAATCATTCCATAGCGAGCTATAGATATTGGGTGCTTTTTTTCTTATAAAAACTTGAGAATGGTCTATAAAAGATTAGTTAGGAATTAAAAAGATTATGTGGGTGTGACTAGAAGAAACCTGGCAGTATGTATAAGAGAACGTAGATACAATGTTGACAAACGACACAACACAACATTAGCAATTACAGCACAGACTAAAGGAGCGATTGTAAAATGAGAAGAGGCTAGTCCAGGCATGGCCAACATATGGCCCGTGGGCCGGATCCGGCCCATCTAATGAATTTATGTGGCCCGCAATCAATCTTTCAATATTAGGTATTGAAGTCCGAATAGCTTGATGAAAAATTCTGTGTAAAAATTAAAAAAAAAAAAAAAAAAAAAAAAAAGTCAACAACTCACTGTGCGGTAAGAGTTAACCATCCATTACTAATCTCTTAAGTATAGCGTAGAATATTGATAGAGCATGATAATGTGAAAAATGTATCTGTAATCTTTATCTACAATTCAGTCTCTACGGGGTGACACCACAATGAGATCTTGCACCATGTCAAAATCTTCCTAGGGCAATCTCTGGTTCGGCCCGTGCAAAAAGTTTTCTTTCCAATTCAGCCTGGGGAAAACCCGTTGGCCACCCCTGGGCTAGTCATTAAAATGGTGCACTCTCCATCCATTGCATTGGAGATGGAAAAGGTGGAAATTTATAAAAGCAAACTAAAAAACCATTGCCTAAATGCTAGGGATGCTAATGCGCTTTCAATGGTATGGAAATATATAATACAAAAAAGAATGGGACTTAGAAACACTTAAATCAGGTTTCTTTCTAGTTAGCTTTGTTTTCTATGTTTTATTTGTTTATTTACTTTTTATTTATTTATTTAATACACACATTTTCAATTTATTTTAAAGATAAATTTTAAAAAATTTTTAAATATGTAAAATATTCAAAAACNTTATTTTTATCAATGAGCCATTCACTTACATTGCAATTTTATTATGATTACTTTATTATTTCAATACAGCAAAAGCTGTCTAAAAATAACTTTTATAAGACATAATGTGACTAAGCAGAAAATGAATCTTGGAACAATTTCATAAATAAAATACTATTACAAGCTGAAAAATCTGTCTAACTCAGAAACAGATTATTTTTTATGAATCAATTGTATAAAATAACCTGAATAGAACGGAATTTTTGGGCATAACATTAAATTCTTAATCATAATTAATGCTGTAAGTTGTATGTTTGGATCATGCTTAGCTTTTCAGTGATAAGAGTTATAGTCTACTTCGTTTTTCTTTGTTAAGATTGCAGTTTCATTGTCTAGAAATTAGCTGTAACAATAGAATACCGCTGTTCTCCCAATCCTTTAAAAGAGTTGCTTAATAAAAGTCTAACCCGTTATAAAACAAAACATTCTAACATAACAGAAAAGTCTGGTTGGTATCGCTACCTTCCGTTTGAAACCGTTTTTACTGTAATTTCGTATTGAAAGTATTAGTAGTACTGTACCTCGTATTGCCATCTGCTGTGATTAAATTTAACTAAAAATGGATCATTAATTTAAAAAAGAAAACTCATTTACATGCTTTCTTGTCAAAAATGTCACGTTGTAAAAATATAAAAAATAACAGATGTTTTAATTAATTTTTAACAACACTTGATTCATATTTTATATATATATTTTTAGTATTTTCGAAAATTAATATATTGTAAAAACAACTTTAAAAAATGTTTAATTGCATTAATAATGGTAAAATTTGTTACGGAATTGCTTAACATAATTGGCTTATATATTTAATATAAGTTTTTATGTAAGTTATTAAAAAAATATATGAACTTTCGTTTTCTTCACACACATTTTTCAACCTTCATTTTTGTGACAATATTTTATGTAATATAAAAATTTCAAAATCACGTTTTTCTGGTTAACAAAGATTCATAAGTTTTAATATGACGATAATATAATAATAAAACGACATAGTTAATTTAATTTTGTCCCGGGATTTCCCGGGAAACAGTTCACTTTTATCCCGGAATCCCGGGACAAGCAAAAGACCGGGAAAATGAGAAACTCTAGTGATGTTAATGGCAGCACACGTAATCGCGGCCCCGATACTAAATGTTCCTTACCCAGGCACCTCGAAATGGTAAGGATTGACATAGGGATCCATATGTAATGATGGCGCCACCTGTTTCGATGGTGGATAATGATACTGTGCGGCCTTGGCTGCCAATGCATCAGACAATCTCGAGAAAAATTTTGATAGAGCTCACATTCTAATTCGAAACGAATTTTCATCGCGTCTAAAATACCTGGAAATTCTTGAAATATACATGACTATTTCTAGTGGAAAGGCTCCTATGTTACATGCACGGAGGGTAGTACCAAGGCCTTCTAGATTATATAGGCCATAAAACTGAAGCCAAAACTTTTGGTGACGTCATTCCTTGGATCCGTTACAAGATAGACCTGAACAAGACTTCATTTGTGATCGAATTAGCTGTGGTTAGATGCAGATGATTTAAAAGTTATTACAGTAGTTGTAAACTATTTCCAGAGCCCTACCATAGGGCGACGGAGCAGCCGCTCCAGGCGCTAAGTCCTAGGGGGCGCCTCAGTGGTAAAGAAAATTAAAGGGTATAAATTAGGGGCAACCAAGGGGGCGCCATAATAGGATCTCGCTCCATCCTAAAACTTGTCTCGGGCAGGCATTGACTATTTCCATGAATTAATATTAAATCAATAAAGGAAGTTAAACTTTAAATAAAATAGATTGATGTTCACATATTAAATCTTAAAGAGAATGAGTTATTTTTATTCATGAACGCTAAGCCTGATGTTTTCAATGTAAATGATTTTTAGAAAATTCATACTTTAATAATTTAATGTAGTTTCGTTATTTTATTTTTTTCCTATTTGAGTAAATAAGATAACTTATTAATAAATTAAGAATTTAGAACTTTATACATTTATCATTTTCAGATGTAAATATACATATAAGCAAATGATCAATATAATAATTAAACTTGTTTAAACTATTCTAAAATTTAAACAATACGACTGTCATATTTTCTATATTTTTTTGAAAATATGATGTACAAATTTGTATTTATAATCAAAGACAAGTTTCTAGCATAAGATGTATACTGCATACAAATGTATTAAACAGGGTGCATAGGAAAGTTCCTTTAACCGGAAAATTCTTGGGACGAAGAGAGGTAGAGCTACAGCTATGCAAGTGAGGTAACGGTGTAGTAAAGCGACTACGCCCGACCTAATGCAAACGATAGCAGCGCCCCTAGTGGCGAAATTTGGAAGATAGGCAACGTAAATCGAAAACGGAAACAGATAGAGCAAACTTTCCAATTAGAAAGTTTTAGAGCATCAATTAATTAGTACGAAACGACGTGGTTCACACAGATAAATTATCGCCTGTATACCCAAAAATGTCCGAAAGCGAAGCACGCCATTTTGCATAAACGTTTGAAAGAAATAGCCATAAGTATGAAGAAATACGCACAATTTCTTGTATAAAATACATAGGTCAGTCAATACAGTTTGATAACTATGGCGTGTATCGTGAGCAATGGCAAACTTTACGAACATAAGAACTCGACATTAACTTGTTATCACTGTGTGACAGTTTGCCTTTCCATTGTTTTTTGTGTGTTGTTATCAAACTGTATTGACGTAAGTACGTATTTTGTGCAATAAATTGTGCATATTTCTTCAGGACTGTTTCGAAAATTAAACAGTATGTTTAGTAAAAGTATCATAATTTGAGTTATTGGACATTTTCTATTTTTTTGGAAAATGGACTCCCTCGTTCACATTTTACAATGTCATGGTCACAAAATCAAGGATTTTTCCCAGTCTGTTTTTGAATACTAATCTTGGATACATGTTCTATCAAACATAAATTGCCATTTTAGTGTCATAGACTTGGTTTTTTTAGAACAAAAAATAATTCAGAATTTTTGTTTTTTTTTCGGTGTAAAAAAGTACTGTAATTATTAGTTAGTTTGTCATGCAGGTTACAGTACTTTTTGTTACACCGAAAAAAAAGAAACAAAAATTTTGAATTATTTTTGGAAGTATTGTTGTTAAAAATGTTTATTTGCACTATTTAATTTCTGTAAAATTCTGTTATATTAACTTTAATATAAAATCCAATTGAATGACTATTTGTTACAGTTCTCACAATATCAATTTATGTTCATAAATTTCAAACTGTTGTATAAATATATCATTTTACCTTTATATGAAATTCACCTCATTGGATTTGAATAAAATATGTCCATATTCCAACAATATATACTTTACTTATATACTATAAAATGTTGATGCTGAATTACTTTTTGTATGGCAAATGTTTAACTAACATAACCAGATCCACTATTTGGTTTATAATAAAAAAAATTTATTAGTAACATTTTGTAAAGGCTGGAAAATTGTCTTCATTTCTCTTTAGGAGGAGGCCTGTAAAATAAAATCATCAATAATAAATATTTTTATATAACAAAAAGTATTACTGTATATTCCGGCATATAAGACAATCCCTGATTTTTACAGTAAAAATAGTTTGGGATATACTTGACTGTTGGACATTTTTATACCAGCCTGCCCTTGTATCCTATTTCCCCTTCTACAGTCACATGGATTCTGTGAGATGCCCTCTGGTGGATTTTTTTGTCACATTTTTTCTGAAATTTTTTGAAAAATTTCAAAAAATATAAGTTCTCCAATTTCTTCAAGCTGCGAAAAATGCAATAAATAATGTTTTTATTGTGTGCTGAGTTTATTCAGGAAAAAAAATCGAAAAAGTGCCAGCATCTCAGACTCCACGCGACCTTTCCAGTAGGAAAAATTCAGTGGAAAAACACACTCACGAGCATCATTTTGCTATCAATTCTTTTCTCCCAATAATTTTTTTTTTCAAGAAAAAGATCGATTCTAGTCCGATTTTGAACCAAGATATCGCAACATGCTGGCCCGCCCTTGTATCCTATTACCATAACCTCCTTCTCTGCCTCTCAGATCTTGCATATGCGCCCCTGTGCCGCTTCACTGTGGTCCTCAGGAGCACGATCTGAGAGGCAGAGAAAGTGGTATGGTAATAGAATACATACAAGGGCAGGCCGGACGGGTGAAAGATGCGTGTTTTTCTGGGCACAGTGCTGCTCTATCTCTATCCATACCCCAGGCATCCCGGCTGACTGCAGCACCTGCCTATAAAACAACACCAAAAACTCCTGACTTTTGAGAAGATTTTCCTGGGTTAAAAAGTCATCTTATATGCCAGAATATACGGTAACTAGAAAGATATATTAAAAACTTGGAAGTGAAAATGGTTTTTCTCACAATTTATGATAAACCATAAAGTTTAATATAAAATACACTGATTAAATTTACTCTCATACATTTCTATCTACTAGATTTGGTAGATACTAGTTACAACATACTTTAATTTCATGATGTAAGAATTTCAAAATATAACAAATTACCAGAGAAATATATAAGTTGTATTTATTAAAGCACTCTATGAATGAAATCAAATAATTTTTATTTTGAATTGAAGTTGTTCAATTCCAATCATTCAATTTTTGACAAATTGATATAACAAGAATGTTTAATTTACTTTGAGTTTCCTCTGTTGGCTACACTGTATTTGATTCTATAACTTTTATTCATTGATTAAAAAAAAATATATATATATATATNAAAAAAAAAAAAAAAAAAAAAAAAAAAAAAAAAAAAAAAAAAAAAAAAAAAAAAAAAAAAAAAAAAAAAAAAAAAAAAAAAAAAAAAAAAAAAAAAAAAAAAAAAAAAAAAAAAAAAAAAAAAAAAAAAAAAAAAAAAAAAAAAAAAAAAAAAAAAAAAAAAAAAAAAAAAAAAAAAAAAAAAAAAAAAAAAAAAAAAAAAAAAAAAAAAAAAAAAAAAAAAAAAAAAAAAAAAAAAAAAAAAAAAAAAAAAAAAAAAAAAAAAAAAAAAAAAAAAAAAAAAAAAAAAAAAAAAAAAAAAAAAAAAAAAAAAAAAAAAAAAAAAAAAAAAAAAAAAAAAAAAAAAAAAAAAAAAAAAAAAAAAAAAAAAAAAAAAAAAAAAAAAAAAAAAAAAAAAAAAAAAAAAAAAAAAAAAAAAAAAAAAAAAAAAAAAAAAAAAAAAAAAAAAAAAAAAAAAAAAAAAAAAAAAAAAAAAAAAAAAAAAAAAAAAAAAAAAAAAAAAAAAAAAAAAAAAAAAAAAAAAAAAAAAAAAAAAAAAAAAAAAAAAAAAAAAAAAAAAAAAAAAAAAAAAAAAAAAAAAAAAAAAAAAAAAAAAAAAAAAAAAAAAAAAAAAAAAAAAAAAAAAAAAAAAAAAAAAAAAAAAAAAAAAAAAAAAAAAAAAAAAAAAAAAAAAAAAAAAAAAAAAAAAAAAAAAAAAAAAAAAAAAAAAAAAAAAAAAAAAAAAAAAAAAAAAAAAAAAAAAAAAAAAAAAAAAAAAAAAAAAAAAAAAAAAAAAAAAAAAAAAAAAAAAAAAAAAAAAAAAAAAAAAAAAAAAAAAAAAAAAAAAAAAAAAAAAAAAAAAAAAAAAAAAAAAAAAAAAAAAAAAAAAAAAAAAAAAAAAAAAAAAAAAAAAAAAAAAAAAAAAAAAAAAAAAAAAAAAAAAAAAAAAAAAAAAAAAAAAAAAAAAAAAAAAAAAAAAAAAAAAAAAAAAAAAAAAAAAAAAAAAAAAAAAAAAAAAAAAAAAAAAAAAAAAAAAAAAAAAAAAAAAAAAAAAAAAAAAAAAAAAAAAAAAAAAAAAAAAAAAAAAAAAAAAAAAAAAAAAAAAAAAAAAAAAAAAAAAAAAAAAAAAAAAAAAAAAAAAAAAAAAAAAAAAAAAAAAAAAAAAAAAAAAAAAAAAAAAAAAAAAAAAAAAAAAAAAAAAAAAAAAAAAAAAAAAAAAAAAAAAAAAAAAAAAAAAAAAAAAAAAAAAAAAAAAAAAAAAAAAAAAAAAAAAAAAAAAAAAAAAAAAAAAAAAAAAAAAAAAAAAAAAAAAAAAAAAAAAAAAAAAAAAAAAAAAAAAAAAAAAAAAAAAAAAAAAAAAAAAAAAAAAAAAAAAAAAAAAAAAAAAAAAAAAAAAAAAAAAAAAAAAAAAAAAAAAAAAAAAAAAAAAAAAAAAAAAAAAAAAAAAAAAAAAAAAAAAAAAAAAAAAAAAAAAAAAAAAAAAAAAAAAAAAAAAAAAAAAAAAAAAAAAAAAAAAAAAAAAAAAAAAAAAAAAAAAAAAAAAAAAAAAAAAAAAAAAAAAAAAAAAAAAAAAAAAAAAAAAAAAAAAAAAAAAAAAAAAAAAAAAAAAAAAAAAAAAAAAAAAAAAAAAAAAAAAAAAAAAAAAAAAAAAAAAAAAAAAAAAAAAAAAAAAAAAAAAAAAAAAAAAAAAAAAAAAAAAAAAAAAAAAAAAAAAAAAAAAAAAAAAAAAAAAAAAAAAAAAAAAAAAAAAAAAAAAAAAAAAAAAAAAAAAAAAAAAAAAAAAAAAAAAAAAAAAAAAAAAAAAAAAAAAAAAAAAAAAAAAAAAAAAAAAAAAAAAAAAAAAAAAAAAAAAAAAAAAAAAAAAAAAAAAAAAAAAAAAAAAAAAAAAAAAAAAAAAAAAAAAAAAAAAAAAAAAAAAAAAAAAAAAAAAAAAAAAAAAAAAAAAAAAAAAAAAAAAAAAAAAAAAAAAAAAAAAAAAAAAAAAAAAAAAAAAAAAAAAAAAAAAAAAAAAAAAAAAAAAAAAAAAAAAAAAAAAAAAAAAAAAAAAAAAAAAAAAAAAAAAAAAAAAAAAAAAAAAAAAAAAAAAAAAAAAAAAAAAAAAAAAAAAAAAAAAAAAAAAAAAAAAAAAAAAAAAAAAAAAAAAAAAAAAAAAAAAAAAAAAAAAAAAAAAAAAAAAAAAAAAAAAAAAAAAAAAAAAAAAAAAAAAAAAAAAAAAAAAAAAAAAAAAAAAAAAAAAAAAAAAAAAAAAAAAAAAAAAAAAAAAAAAAAAAAAAAAAAAAAAAAAAAAAAAAAAAAAAAAAAAAAAAAAAAAAAAAAAAAAAAAAAAAAAAAAAAAAAAAAAAAAAAAAAAAAAAAAAAAAAAAAAAAAAAAAAAAAAAAAAAAAAAAAAAAAAAAAAAAAAAAAAAAAAAAAAAAAAAAAAAAAAAAAAAAAAAAAAAAAAAAAAAAAAAAAAAAAAAAAAAAAAAAAAAAAAAAAAAAAAAAAAAAAAAAAAAAAAAAAAAAAAAAAAAAAAAAAAAAAAAAAAAAAAAAAAAAAAAAAAAAAAAAAAAAAAAAAAAAAAAAAAAAAAAAAAAAAAAAAAAAAAAAAAAAAAAAAAAAAAAAAAAAAAAAAAAAAAAAAAAAAAAAAAAAAAAAAAAAAAAAAAAAAAAAAAAAAAAAAAAAAAAAAAAAAAAAAAAAAAAAAAAAAAAAAAAAAAAAAAAAAAAAAAAAAAAAAAAAAAAAAAAAAAAAAAAAAAAAAAAAAAAAAAAAAAAAAAAAAAAAAAAAAAAAAAAAAAAAAAAAAAAAAAAAAAAAAAAAAAAAAAAAAAAAAAAAAAAAAAAAAAAAAAAAAAAAAAAAAAAAAAAAAAAAAAAAAAAAAAAAAAAAAAAAAAAAAAAAAAAAAAAAAAAAAAAAAAAAAAAAAAAAAAAAAAAAAAAAAAAAAAAAAAAAAAAAAAAAAAAAAAAAAAAAAAAAAAAAAAAAAAAAAAAAAAAAAAAAAAAAAAAAAAAAAAAAAAAAAAAAAAAAAAAAAAAAAAAAAAAAAAAAAAAAAAAAAAAAAAAAAAAAAAAAAAAAAAAAAAAAAAAAAAAAAAAAAAAAAAAAAAAAAAAAAAAAAAAAAAAAAAAAAAAAAAAAAAAAAAAAAAAAAAAAAAAAAAAAAAAAAAAAAAAAAAAAAAAAAAAAAAAAAAAAAAAAAAAAAAAAAAAAAAAAAAAAAAAAAAAAAAAAAAAAAAAAAAAAAAAAAAAAAAAAAAAAAAAAAAAAAAAAAAAAAAAAAAAAAAAAAAAAAAAAAAAAAAAAAAAAAAAAAAAAAAAAAAAAAAAAAAAAAAAAAAAAAAAAAAAAAAAAAAAAAAAAAAAAAAAAAAAAAAAAAAAAAAAAAAAAAAAAAAAAAAAAAAAAAAAAAAAAAAAAAAAAAAAAAAAAAAAAAAAAAAAAAAAAAAAAAAAAAAAAAAAGTCAACAACTCACTGTGCGGTAAGAGTTAACCATCCATTACTAATCTCTTAAGTATAGCGTAGAATATTGATAGAGCATGATAATGTGAAAAATGTATCTGTAATCTTTATCTACAATTCAGTCTCTACGGGGTGACACCACAATGAGATCTTGCACCATGTCAAAATCTTCCTAGGGCAATCTCTGGTTCGGCCCGTGCAAAAAGTTTTCTTTCCAATTCAGCCTGGGGAAAACCCGTTGGCCACCCCTGGGCTAGTCATTAAAATGGTGCACTCTCCATCCATTGCATTGGAGATGGAAAAGGTGGAAATTTATAAAAGCAAACTAAAAAACCATTGCCTAAAT